CCAAGAATAAGAAATACTAAATAAACATAGATGTGGCTGATTGGCTTAAGCGTTTAAAGCACTGGGTTCAAACCCGGCTTTCAAAAGCTGCGAGTTTATGATGACAATTAAACGTATCGCCTAAATGTTTAAAAGTTATCTGACCAATGCCCAGCTCTGCGGATTAAAAAAGAATGGTTCACTGCCATCTGTAGAACGTTTCTGTGCAGCAGAGAACGTGGGAAAAAGTGAGCCCTTGAGTGTGTGGCTAAAAAGAGGTCTCTTCAAGTGCGCTTAGAAAGAGTTCTGTGAAATATTTTTTTCTGCGGACCGTTCTCCAACTTGGGGCGAATGCACCGCTCTGCAAGGGTACCGAATATGGACGTGGTCATCTCATGACACCGATAGGACGACTGCAAAAACATTATTTTTTTAAAGGGAAAGTTCTACCTATTAAAAAAAACATTATACGTAAAGGGACAAGGGTTTGTTTGTACACATACGCATCAAGGTGTTTATGAAACGATGTACTTTATTCTAGATTTAAAGCTTTCGTGACTGCTAGGATCCATACTCTTTTGTTCTATTGGGTAAAGTCACGTAGGTGAAAATAAAATAACAAAAAATCACCTACGTGACTTTACCCAATAGAACCAAAGAGGATGTACTTTATGTATGCCGAACTTCTTTCACACCGTACGCAAGCCAGCCACGTTAATCGGACGTGCGGGAAAGCAGTTGTGCCAATTACTGATGTGCGGCTCCGAACGCTGGAGAATGATAAAATCCGATTAACCAAAACACGGCATCTGCACAGATGAGCTGGCTGATAAGAATGCTGAGAGTGTGTCTGGACTCGAGAAAATGACAACTGAAGCACAAAGAGAACGATCGGAAAAAAGTGGTGACACTGAACAGGGAAAAGATCCAATATGGACAACCCCGGTGGTTTGGACGCGTGTCTAGAATGGATCCGGAGAGAATAGCGCACGTGGCGTTACGCACACACAACCACATGGAACGTGAAAATAAGATGCTTTGGATTGTGAAGAATGATCTTGAAAGGAAAGGGGGGCCCACAAGTCAGGTAGCCGTGACGCCGGTACGAGCACCTCCGATTAGCACGGTAGGCTACGTACGGTGCGACAGAAGTTCAACATGCATACATGCGAGACGGGGACAGGCGGGACATATCTAATCTGGCCCCATTGTCTCTCAAGGAGTTGGAAAAGGAAATAAATAACATCTGTTTCAAGACCAAAATATAATATTTAGGCCCGTCAACCTATTAGCCTTCGGAGCCTATATGTTTCCCAGCAGCATGTGTTTAAAAGGAATCACCACGACCAGAAAAAGGAAGGTGTGGACATATTCTGTCGAGCCTCATCGTTAGCTGCCATGTGTGACAATTAATGTATGGGAGCGGATATGTCTACGCAGTGGAACCGATAACCAATTGCAACTTCACCGAGTCTCATCAGCAGGGTGTAGCCCTTTAAACAAATGCAGCTGGGTTGCCTGGTGTATTGGATGCATTTTTTTAATCACCTGTACTTAAAAGCTTGCTGCTCATGAAAAACACAACTATTTGGTCAATTTGTTTAATGTTTAACTTCTTAATGGGATACTCTAGAATAATGTGAATTCCATTTTTATTTAATCTTATACATGCACAAGCCTATGATCAAATTACCCGGAATGTGCCCAATATTGCCAAGTCTCAGAAGCTAAGAAGAGTTGAGCCTGGATTGTGCATGGATAGGCAACCACCACAGGTCATATGCTGCCGAGGACGATTTTGTGGAAATCTGAGGGCAGCGAAGCAAAACCAATTGTTGGATTGTACTTATCTATGCTCCCTGCCTTCACCAACCCACATTGCCCAGAAATCCAGGAGTGGATTGACAAAATGCATTGTACATCTACATATTAGGGATGAGTTGTGGCTTTCAACATTCCGATATACAACGGTAATTTTCAGATATTATTTAGATTTCCTAATCATTTACATTTTTTAAGAATTGAATGAGTCTTCATGTTCAAAAAAATAAGATCACCCAGTTGTCACGCGACACAACTTCAAGCGGATATGGTGTCCCACAATGTGACATCGCTTCCCGTGGTGCACGTTTTCATAACAATCCGAAACAAATTGTTTTCTTTTCATCTGAAATTTCATATCTTGGCCCTATTTTCGGATTTTTCATATTCATCTGAAAATCCCTGGTACGTACGCGCACATTCACCCACAGCATTAATGTAACTTAATTCCACACGAATTTGTCGTATTAGACGACCTTCGAGTTGAAAGAGACCAACTGAAACATTTACAGCAGCACATTTGCCAACTGTACATTTAAACAATGCATACCAAGCACACTGCCAAGAACATTAAAAGTTATGTAAAAAGCACACAGCACTTCATGCATTATGCAACAAATCATCAAAAGCTCATGAAGAACTAGATTGTGGTCCTTTGTCTTCGGTCAGTCAAAATTAATTTGAGTAAATGTGACCGTAGGTTGGTTTCATTCTCGTTAGAGCTCACCAGTACAGTAGCATCACCAATGCTCACCGCTCCAAAATCTGCTTCTGGGAACCAATATTTGTGGATTCCCCACTTTCACACTATGGGGTCCATTTTCTTGCCTAGATGGCAAGTGTAATCTAATCCGTAAAGGATGAGAAAAAAAATCACAATTTATGGTTTTCCAGCCTGCACTATTTTTTTTTACGATGGGATTTAGTCATCATTGACACAGCGAACCATTAAAACACTGCCCACATTGTAAGCCCTTCAGCCTTGCTCTGATCCTCATGATGGTGGCATGGACATACGGGGTGTAAAGTCAACAACATCTCCCCCTCCCCTCCCATGGAGAGTGAACACCGGGTCTTCTTTAACTCCCAATCCTTACTCCTGGCTTTGTGAACCAACTCTTCACTGGAGTCCAACGCTTAGTCTCATTCCACAAAGCTGGGTAAACTTTCCCTGAGTAGCCTGTAACAGACTGTTGGGGCAAGTGGTGTTAGTGAGCACCTATTTAAGGTTGACGAGGAAATCGAGGGGGTGGGTGACCAGTTACATATAGAACGTTGGGCAAGCATTGCATATTTACTGGGTGGTATGGTCAGCAAACGCAGTTTTCATCCAGCAGCTGATTGTCAAGGGGCTGTTGTACAAGTATCACTGCTAATGTTTTGGAGTGTAAGAAAATAGACATATTCGCAGATACCCAGGGACTGATTACAGGCTGAATCAACACGGAGGTCAAGGACCAGGATTGATTCAGATATCACTGGCCACTCATTGGTAACCGTGGCCAAAATTTTAACTTGGGTTGCCAGGTTCACTGCGACGCCGATCCCACGTTGCACACACCACATGTACATATGCACGTGTGCGTATGCACATAGTACACGAATTATTCAACCAAATCAGCCGCAATGAACCAAATCTGAGGTGAAGCGTGGTTGAAACCTGCATGGTTAGCACTTGAATGGGAGGCTGGCTGGGAATTCCACGTGTTGTATGTTTAGCCTTTAAGATAGCTAGCAAATAGGATCAATTGCAGTACAGTACAACAATGGATCGTTGAATCTGTGTGGAGCTTTGAATGTTAGCCCCTTTGTATACATGGGAGGCTTCTAAAAAGACTCTGGTTTTCTCACACTTAAAAGCGAAATGGAATTGGCCAAACATTCCCTTGTAGAAGCCCCCCCCCCCCACCGAATAAAATAATCTTAAGCTTTGGTGAGGCTTTACCTACAAAATTTGAAGGATACATGCGTGTTATGAAACTATAACGAAGGGAGGGGCAACTTAAACGCTGGTATGTGCAGAATGTACAACATATTTCAGTACTGAAATGTGGACAGAACAACGCCAAAAAAATCTGGAATATCAGCCAAAACAAGTTTCGCGAATACATTTAAACAATATGGACAAGGCTTCTCACTGGGACAGCAAAGTGGTTACACCACGCACTCAATCCATCTGAATTGTGCTCATAATTCACACATCGCAACACGAGGAATGCACAAAGTTTTAGGCTGAGCCAACCTAGCAGAGGGGCCATGCCCAGCTTGATGAAAGCAAATGCCACGAATTTCTGCACATTCTAGACGCCGACACACGTGCGGTCAACAGCAGCACACGTGCATGAAATGACCCCGGCAGCAATCACGCGCGTTCGAAGGGAACTTTAATCCAGGAGATGGAGCGACGAAATCACGTGCTAGATCATGGGCCATGGGCAACGGGGCTTGGCGAGACCTTAATCCAGCAGTGGATTGATCATGGCTGATTATTATGATGATGATAACATAACCGGCACAGATATCACTCGCCACTGATGTGTAGCCGTAGTACGTTAACAATATTCTTTACACATTTGCAGATAATAAAGACAAAGCTCGCCCTCCGTGTCGTCTTCACAGGACTTTCGTAGCAAGTGATGTTAGCGAGCACCTATTAAAGCTGGCATGGCGTACACGAGTCGGGGTGGGTGACCGGGACGACTCCCTCCTAAGACAGTACACACTCCGCACACAAACTCACGCGAGACCTCGGGCACAGCTGCACGGACCGCCTTTGTATCTCCCTCCCCGCCTACCATATAGTCTATAGTCTCTATACGGACTGTTGAGACTTAAATGGGTGCTCGCAAACTGCACAAAGACACGCGATTAAAGATCTCCCCCCCCCACCACGTGTAGCCTGTAACAGACTGTAGGGGCAAGTGCTCTTAGCGAGCACCTATGATGCAGGCCGGCAACGACACACGAGGAGGGGGGGTGGGCGACCAGCACCACGCCCGACCGCCTTTGTCTCCCCCAGCGGCGACGTTTACACAGCGGTACCGGGTACTCATTTGAGGCCGAGTCGACCTAGGGGAGGCCCAGCACCCGGCTCAAAAATAATCGTCCCTTGTAGACCTCACAACCACACAGACAGACAGGACAACGTTACACGAGACATTTAACACCCGCCCGAGTCACTTCGGCGCCTCGCTACTCACCAACTTGGTCGCTCTGTAGGGTCCTGGCGAAATGAGCCTCTGGTCTTGCATGGCGGAGCAGCGTGGGGCGATTATTGAGGCCGGGAAGGGATCAAGTCTCCTTCAACACCACCACCACGTGTATCTCCACAACAACCACCAACACCATCACCGACAGAGCATCAACCCATCCGCTTCTCGCGATGTCCCCCGAGCGCGTGGTTGTCGAACGAGACGACGGCAAACAATGGACTCGCCCCCCCTCCTCCTGCTCCTCCTCCTGCCCCCCTCCTCCTCCTGCTCCCCCTCCTCCTCCTGCCCCCCTCCTCCTCCTGCCCCCCTCCTCCTCCTGCCCCCCCTCCTCCTCCTGCCCCCCCTCCTCCTCCTGCCCCCCCTCCTCCTCCTGCCCCCCCTCCTCCTCCTGCCCCCTCCTGTCCCCCCCTCCTGCCCCCCCTCCTCCTCCTGCCCCCCCTCCTCCTCCTGCCCCCCCTCCTCCTCCTGCCCCCCTCCTCCTCCTGCCCCCCTCCTCCTCCTGCCCCCCCTCCTCCTCCTGCCCCCCCTCCTCCTCCTGCCCCCCCTCCTCCTCCTCCTGCCCCCCCTCCTCCTCCTCCTGCCCCCCCTCCTCCTCCTCCTGCCCCCCCAAGCTTAGCGAACCCAAGACAGTCAGTCAGTAGGACCAAAGCCGAGATTTAAATTGGATTAGTGAAGGGTTCGTTGCCTGCCGCCGCCGCCGCCGCTGGTCTATGTATAGACCAAGATACAGCAGCAGCGCCACACTGATCCCCTTAGCGGCGGAGTGTGGGGGGCAAGAGCTGTTGGCTAGCAGCAGCAGCGGCGGCTACGAAAGCCGGCACGGCTAAACGCGAGGTCGGTGGGGGCGGGCAGCAACTACGCCCACGGCCGCCTTTGTCTCCATACCGTGGTGGCGATGTTTAACGACAACAACACCAAGTGGCGGTGACGTCAACCGCGCGGCGCTCGTGCCAGGCTACGTGCACGGCCCAAGCACTCACGCACGCACGCGCAGGCGCGCGGGGCAGCATCCATCCCCTCCCTCCCTCACCACACCACCAGCACCACCAACAACAACAACCACACCACCAGCACCACGCAAGAGGCTGCCCTGCATGCCCCCCCACCCACACACCCACACCGCCCGTGTTTGAATGAGGCGAGGTGGCTCGCGGAGCCAATCACGGCCGGGCGACTGAGCCCACGCGTCACCGGGGGTCCATTTAAAGAGGAGCGGCAACGTGGGATGATGGGGGGTGGTGGAAGTCGCTCTTCATGTGGGTGGGTGTGTGGTGTAGCCGGTGACGATTGTCGGAACCGGTCGTGGGCCTCCCCTAAGTCGACTCAGCCACAAATGAGCACCTGGTGCGGTGTGTAAAAACATCGCCACCGGGGAGACGAAGGCGGTTGTGGTGTTGGCCACCCACCCCCATCCTGTGGCTGTATCGTCCTTCATAGTTGCTCACGAACAGCACTTGCCCCATCAGTTCTAGTAAGATCTTTGTCTTGAGTTAGATCGCGTAAATATATTAATGTGTCGTTAAAACCCGCCACCACCCGACACAGCCAACTAGTGAGGGTTGTCACGTAATCAGAACGTGGCCAATTCGTCACTAGTACAGCACAAGTGTATAGTGTAGTAGTGTATAGTGTAGTGTCTAGTGTAGTGTAAAGTAGTGTATAGTGTAATATACCAGTATAGCACTAGTATGTAGTGTTTAGTGTGGTGTATAGTGTAGTATATAGTGTAGAATACTAGTACAGCACTAGTATGTAGTGTAGTGTATAGTGTAGTTTATAGTGTAGGATACTAGTACAGCACTAACCGGTGTGTTGGAGAGCCAAGACAACATTTACAATCTGAGTACGACGTTTCGCCTGTAATTACATCTAGCTTCATCAGGCGACAGTCAGATTTGTGACAACCCTTACTAGTTGGCTGTGTCGGGTGGTGGCAAGTTTTAACGACACATTTAAATATTTACGCGATCTAACAAAAAAATATTATGGATATTGGTCGCGAAAGCCTACGTGTTAAATCGTTGTCCGAGTTTGCGACCAGCTCCGGTTTGGCAGCAGAGATCTCAACTCCTAATTAGTGGAAGCGACATATTTTCATCAGCTGCGTAACGCTGCCTGGAAGCTGATTTGACCTGTCGCTGCACACAAAGATTCTGGGGGCTTCACGGCCACAGATATTCCATCTCCTCTTGTCTAAGCTCGTCAAACGTAGACCCCTCTGAAGGAAAATCAGCGCCAGTTTGACACATTCAGGCTGCTCTGCCCCAGACTGGATTGTGTGAGGAGTTCACGGGTCCTTAAAAGATTTGGACAAAGTCCCATCGGCGAGTTCATTTGGCAGGCAAGGCTGCGATGGCTGGGTCACGTATCCCGCATGCCCAAGCAGCCTCTGTTTGGCCGGATAGAAGGGGGTTAGACGGGCATGACACGGGCTGGCGAAGAGATGGGCTGACGTGATTACATCCGGGAGGATGTGGAGCCGGGTGCAGTTTTCCAAGACCGGTACCAGCGGTGTCAAGATCGACCTCTATGGAGGAGGCTCAAGAATCATGGCAACCGGTTTGTTGCAGGCAGTCGCCTCCACTACTGCGGAGGGCACGGGAGCGACGCTCAAAACAACGAGCGGATCGCCGGGCGGTTAAAACGCAGCGAGGTGGCACAGCTGATGCATCCGCTAGTCATCTCAATGAACCCACGGCACCTGGGTTTGTCCCTGTGAACTCCATTCTGCGAGCCTTCCACACTTCGACGTGGCCTCAATGTACACAGCCTGGCACAAGCGCCGTCGCCACGGATAATTATTGGCGAATGAGGGCCGCTGTTTGTGAGAGTCGTGCCGGCCTTAATAGGCGCTCGCTCAAAGCAGTGGCTCCCAAGTATATTCAAATACTACAGGGGAGATATCTGTACGAATACGTCGGTGGGTACAAATTTGGGGGGTCTTACAATGTAAAAAACATAACAGCTGTTTCCGAGTTCTTATAAAATACACAAACAACACGTAACTCACGCCATGCAGGTAACAATCGATATATCCAAATATATTTTACGTGAATCGTATCATGAATACAAGAATCAATTATTCAGTGATTTCTAAAAGAGATACGCTCAGATAATGAAAATATGGTAATATTACAGAGCACGACAAAGAGACAGCATCACAGCAAATGAAAACGAAGATTCCAGAATATAATATCGTCGACAAATCCCGACTCATCTAAACATGGTTGGTTGTACAATTAATGACTTGTGTCGGTTTCAGAAAGCTCGTTTCTCAAAACCCTTTAAGCATGGTCCTGCCTTCAGATGTTTGACCAGTTGCACGCAGAGTGTTTGGCATGTTGGTGGAAATTCGAGTTCAGTACCTGAAGAAACCCCACCATACACATACAGGGTGACAACTCAAAAAGTTCCACAGCTGGGTCCCATCCATTGCTGCACTGCCATTTCATGGCGACCTCGCAAGTCCAAGCCGAGACCAACTTGGGTTCCAATATCAAGCAATATCTGGCGCTTCCAGGGCGACTTGCTGGCTCCATGCTTGTTCTCTTAACGTCCACAGCTCATGCCCTCTTCTGACATTCTCCAATTAGTCGTGCCTTCGTGTCTCTCTGCAGCCAGACGCTCATTAGCGGTGGCGATGGCTTCCTCGCCTCATCCAGGACCACGTTTCCACAATTCCTGGTCCTCCTCGCCTCCGTGGATGATTGATGGCCGCGTGCACAGATCCTCGAAGCTGCGGAGTCGCCCAGCACCCTGCCCGGCTCCTCACCTGCAAACATCTTCCTCTGCAGCGCGCCCACATCCGGGAAGAAGAGCGGCGAGACAATGAACGCGTGCCTGGGCTGCACGTCTTCGTGTGTCCCACACTGCAGTCCCCAATGAACGGTGCCCACGGGGTAATGACTCGTATCCGCCTTGCTCAGGCGCGACTTGGCGAGCTGAGGCACGGAAGGAACCGGGGGGGCCTCCTGGCCTCTCAACACAAAGCGAAAAATATCAGCCGTAGACAAAGGATGGACGTCGCCGGACACTGGAAGCCCTTGCAGGACGTGGTTTGGCATGATGGTTGAAATTTTATACCCAAGCGAACAGATACTGGCTTTTGTCGGCTCACATTTTCCCGTCCAGACCCAGTGCTGTAGATGAATAAAAACAGCAACAGACCGTTGCTTAGTAACCCCCCCCCCCCACACACAGTATACTGTAGAGGGAATTCACTTCCACAACAGGGCCACGTAAACCAACAACACTATTCACCTAAATACCGATTGGCTTCTTGTAAAAAAATACACGCAAGATTACACAAAGTAAAAACAGAAAAGGTTTTGACACTAACCGTTCAGTTGCATTATTGAACAAAGCAGGTTAAAATTATTAAAACCATAAATGCAAAAAAAAACAAATTCACAAAACAGAACAAAACCGTGGGTTTTTATTTAACGTGTGGACAACCAGCATAAAATGCACGATCCTTTACATGCCGGCTATATAAAGCACTGTACAAAGAGAAAATACGGTATGTGCTTTTTAATTTATGTATGGATTCCCACTCTTGCCCCTTTTTTTATAAAGCAAATGAATTTAGTGGCCTGTTGCAAACAATGCACCACCCCGAAGACTCCTAAGAATGAAACGGCAAAAGGTCGCTTAAAACACAACAAAAATCGCATGGCGCAAGCATTACAATTTTGTTACAAACATCAAGTACGGTGAAAATCCTGTCAACCAAAGCTGTAGAGACTCCAGGTAGTTATAAAAAAAATGCATCTGGCAATAATCAGAAACTGTAGGCAGTTGTGAACTCTATAAACCGAGCCGATCAATTGCCTGTAAAAAATGGGGGACATACAGTATTTACAAACCAGTATGCAATCAAAAAAACTATTTGAAATCTCAAGACTTGTCATGCTTCATCTTTACAGCAATGTCAGTTGATTTGGGAATTTATAGTTTTTCCAATTAATTTCTCCCACTGACTTCACCTGCCTCTGGCTACCACCACCCCACCAGACACCTTTTAGTGAGGTGAAAAAAGTATTTGATCCCCTGCTGATTTTGTATGTTTGCCCACTGACAAAGAAATTATCAGTTTATAATTTTAATGGTTGGTTTATTTGAACGGTGAGAGAACAAAATCCAGAAAAACGCATGTCAAAAATTGATTTGCATTTTAATGAGGGAAACAAGTATGACCCCCTCTCAATCAGAAAGATTTCTGGCTCCAGGGTGTCTTTTAAACAGGTAACAAGCTGAGATTAGGAGCACACTCTTAAAGGGAGTGCTCCTAATCTCAGCTTGTTACCTGTATAAAAGACACCTGTCCACAGAAGCAATCAATGAGATTCCAAACTCTCCACCATGGCCAAGACCAAAGAGCTCTCCAAGGATGTCAGGGACAAGATTGTAGACCTACACAAGGCTGGAATGGGCTACAAGACCATTGCCAAGCAGCTTGGTGAGGTGACAACAGTTGGTGCGATTATTCGCAAATGGAAGAAACACAAAAGAACCATCAATCTCCCTCGGCCTGGGGCTCCATGCAAGATCTCACCTCGTGGAGTTGCAATGATCATGAGAACGGTGAGGAATCAGCCCAGAACTACACGGGAGGATATTGTCAATGATCTCAAGGCAGCTGGGACCATAGTCACCAAGAAAACAATTGGTAACACACTACGCCGTGAAGGACTGATATCCTGCAGCGACCGCAAGGTCCCCCTGCTCAAGAAAGCACATATACATGCCCGTCTGAAGTTTGCCAATGAACATCTGAATGATTCAGAGGACAACTGGGTGAAAGTTGTGGTCAGTTGAGACCAAAATGGAGCTCTTTGGCATCAACTCAACTCGCCGTGTTTGGAGGAATGCTGCCTATGACCCCAAGAACACCATCCCCACCGTCAAACATTGAGGTGGAAACATTATGCTCTGGGGGTGTTTTTCTAAGGGGACAGGACAACTTCACCGCATCAAAGGGACGTCAAATCTTGGGTGAGAACCTCCTTCCCTCAGCCAGGGCATTGAAAATGGGTCGTGGATGGGTATTCCAGCATGACAATGACCCAAAACACACGGCCAAGGCAACAAAGGAGTGGTTCAAGAAGAAGGTCCTGGAGTGGCCTAGCCAGTCTCCAGACCTTAATCCCATAGAAAATCTGTGGAGGGAGCTGAGGGTTCGAGTTGCCAAACGTGAGCCTCGAAACCGTAATGACTTGGAGAAGATCTGCAAAGAGTGGGACAAAATCCCTCCTGAGATGTGTGCAAACCTGGTGGCCAACTACAAGAAACGTCTGACCTCTGTGATTGCCAACAAGGGTTTTGCCACCAAGTACTAAGTCATGTTTTGCAGAGGGGTCAAATACTTATTTCCCTCATTAAAATGCAAACCAATTTATAACATTTTTGACATGTTTTTCTGGATTTTTTTGTTATTCTGTCTCTCACTGTTCAAATAAACCTACCATTAAAATTATAGAATGATAATTTCTTTGTCAGTGGGCAAACGTACAAAATCAGCAGGGGATCAAATACTTTCTTCCCCTCACTGTATATGCAACAGAAAAGCAGCCATGCATTCAAATGGACGTCACCTACACCCGGGACCATCCATTTACAAAGCTCTGGGTTCACCCTCACAATAGCAGTTCCCAAATCAATGTTGAAAGGGGACCGAGAAGGCTGGTGGTGCAGATAGGCCAAGGAGGTTGTAATCTCACATGCGCTCACACTGGCTCGTGTGAACGCATGTTAAAGACACGTGGACCAAATTATGTAATTGGGTGCAACTCGCATGTACAATCACACTGGCCAGCATGTTTGCACGTGACTTGGGGACCAACTGCTGTAACTGTATGTAGTGGCCAGCGCGAACATGTGCTAATGGCCACGCGAAAACCAACGACTGCATTTGTGTAGATGTAATAATTGCGGAGTGAGAACAGGCGATTGTGTGCGGCAATCAGAGGCACACACGCAGCTCAATCGCTGGTGTACATGTCTTCCTGCTGATCGTCATCCCCATTGGTGTTGCGCTCGGGGCTCTGATTGCCGCTGTCAGAGCCGCCCCTGCTGCCGGAGCGTGTGCCGCCCTGCGGTGGGGACCCGTCATCGGCGCCTCCAGAACCAGCGCCATCCTCGCGCAGCTGCCGCTCCTTCTCGCTGTCGTAGCCCATCTCCTCCTCGTCGTAGTTCCGCGTCACCTGCACGTGTGCGCGCAACACGTCCAACAGGGTCTATGCACCACAGAGCAGCCGGCGTGCAGACGGGAAAGCACGTCTTACTCATTCGTTCACCACAACGCTACAGCAGGATAAAAATGTGTCAAATCAAAGTGGCCTGCCTGTTCAAAATGAGCAAGTGGCGATTTGCTCAGCTCCTGGGTTGTACACCCTTGATTGAGCCTGTGGCGAAAATTCCAAATTGTCAAGGCAGGGGACACTCGTCTATATTATATAACACACACCGTTGACTTCTAAAAGATACTTATTCCAGTGGCAACGAAAAGATCAAGGCCGAGTTGATTCCTGACCAGGATATAAACTGGCAAACCTTATGTTTGGCTGCACACTGCGCTAACTGGTCAGATGAATAACAGAATGACCTACAACATAGTGCAGAAGACACGAGCACACAAATGTAGGCTATGGTAAACTTAAAAAAAATGTTGCAAAATCTTACCAAACCGGTATAGTTTGACTTGTCAAACTGTGCAACATTTTTCAAAGAGACAGAAATGACTTATGTAGGGCACTTGGGGATTATATGGCAGCTTAGGAGATTTGCAGGCTTTGCTAATTTTTTTAAACCTAGACTTCATTATTTCTTCATTTTTGACAGCTGCCATTTTATAATCGGTTGAAATGTCACCGAAATCTACCCTTTTCCAGACTCGGGTAAATGCTATACGAGATCAAACAACTGTTCACATCAGAACAGCTTAAAAACTCATCTTCAGAAACATTCTTAAATTTCAAGAAAAAAACTCAACTTCCTTTCACATGACAACCTTAACAGGGTCCTATATATAAAAGTCACCGTTTATTTTTAGCTACTATTGAATGTTTTTTTGCCAAAGCACCTCACGGATAATTTTAGTATAATCAACTTTATGATAAACGTTTAAGACATTAAAACTAATTTTACACCGACTCCACTGAATCAAAGCATTTCCAATGGAGGACTTGAATCAAATTCTTTTTTAAGGTGTTTACAATTTTGTTTGCAGGATTTGTTATTAATTTTTTTGTACAAGCTTAGCCAAAATGCAACATTAGCATGATTTGCATAAATCATAAGCAACTAATTCTGCCTATTAAAAATGGTTTGCCACAAGGCAAGCAGTGTAAATACTAAGTCTTTCTTAAAAAAACATGTATAAAGGGGGCTGCGAGGATAAGGAAACAATGATACGCCATGGATCCTCTGAAAATACTACTAGCGTTCAACAATTCGTTAGCACCGACATTTAACGAAGTGCATGCTGTGCATTTATAGTGCTGCCACTGGCTGCACGCCACTCACCTTGACGTCGCCCTTGTCTCCTTCGCTCCTGTCGCGCCGTTCACGCTCCTTTTCCCGTTCACGCTCCCCCTTGTCCCTGCCCTTCTTCTTGCGGCTTCCCGACGAACGAGACTCTTTCTCCCGGCTTCGCTCACGCTCGCGACGCTTCTCTTTCTTGTGCCTGGCAAAGGGGCGCAAGTGCGATAGGGAAAACATACGTGGCACCTCCACGATTAGCACAGTTGGCTACGCACGATGCGAAGTTCAACATGCATACACACAGCCAGCTTTTATTCGCCTGTATATTTTTGGGAGCAACTCAAAAGTTATTCAAGTGGACGCCACAATTTGCAATTGCGCTTCAAGAACAAGCCCTTTTGTCAATGGAATGCTGGATGTTGGGTCATGTGAGGTTCCTTGACTATATTTCACCACACTTGTTAGCAGTGTGGGTAGTGTGGGTTAGCGAAAGGGCGGGACCCAAGAACGGTTAAGGTATCACCACTGATGTCAGTCATGGCCATGAATCAAACTAAAATCGCCGGGCTTACAGTACAGTGTGCGAACCACTGTGCTAAACACTACCAGTTTTTAGTTACCTTTATAACTGTTAGGGTAACCCAAGCGTTATGTATCAATGTGATTCAGTGCAGTATTTAATTGTCTAAATTGCGACAAACTTAAACCAAAAAAACTAACAGATCATATTCTTGGTTCTTTCGGTAAAGTCACGTAGAAGGGAAACAATAAAATAATAAAAATATTGTTTTGTTTCCCTTCTACGTGACTTTACCGAAAGAACCAAGAATGAATCCCTGCAGTCACGAAAGCTTTAAATCAAAATTTAACAGATCATATAAAGTGGATATGGACCTAGGCTGTATACCCAAAAATACTTCATGTTATCAATGTCATTAAAACTATACGATTGTACCATCGACTTACCTATTTCTCATTAAAGCTTCAAGATTGTTGTATAGCCTTCGACGCAGTCTAGGTACGCATGTATTTACACAAGATATATGCGCCCAGTTTTTATTACATCGTGCCTTCCCATTTATATATCGCAAATTTATGGTTTATAACTCGGCACACACGGGCACATCATGCGTGTTGTGTCCAGGCTCTCACTTCTTAGGCGACGGGGAGCTGGAGCCCTTGCGCTTGGGCAGAAGGGGCGGCGAGCCGAGCTTGCGACGCGGCGACCGAGACACACGGCGAGGGCCCGGCGATCTCGACGGCAGGCGGCGTTTGGGCGAGCGCGAGCGGCGGCTGCTCGACGGCCTCGGGGAGGCCCGGCGCCGAGGGCTGGGAGAGACGCGGCGAGGCGGAGGAGGCGGCGAACGCGACAGCGGGCGCTTCTTGCCCGCCAGCGAGGGGCTGCGGCTCTTGCGGCCACGTCGGCTGCGATCCCTGTTCGTTGAGACGAGAAAAGAGCACGTCAAAGCGGGGTCATTTTACCCTTGTTCACTCGAATTAAGTTTAAATGGCATGAACTACCATAATGGCCATGAGAGAATTCGCCATGCGACCGTGTGGTTACAGAGTTAATATGGGATGACCCTTTTTCCCTTTGCTTCCTGGAGCTTAAGACACCGTGAGAACATTCGAGGCGTCAAATGTTAAAGTGACAAAAGCAGAATGTGAGACAAACTTGAAAATAAAATATTGCTGAAATTAAAACTATAAGGCATATCGACAGAATGTTTCACGTAAAATGACTCTACATGGCCGAGTAGGATCCAATTCATAACCAGATGCCGACACTGGAATCATGGGTTCATTGTAATAGGGAGACGATCTCTTACAGCTCAACAATAATCTCCAGTTTCTCATCCCACAAAGACAACCTGAGCAAACGAGAAAATACATTTCCGTAATATGCCAATTTTTTTATTTTAAAAGCAATAACGCAGGCTAGATAATAAAAAAAGCAAATCAACCACTTAAGTTCACACTTTATTGCGATTAAATTGAATAAAAGTATCTCAAGGCCTCAAAAAGGAATGGGGAGGATGGTTGTTGGGGGTGATATTTAGTAGATGTCAGGAGAAACAACAAAGTTACTAAATTACATTCTGGGAAGAAAAGAGAGACCGACAAAGCTGTGCGCCGACGTGCTTTCGGGAAGGGGACGCCCCCCTTGATCGCTCTCACCTGGACTTGGAGCGAGAGCGGCGGCCACGGTCTCGCGAGCGCCGGCGTGGCGAGCGGGATTTGCGGCGCGGGGAGCGGGACCGGCGGCGGGGGCTCCTGCGGCCACGCGATCGCGAGCGGTACCTCGTGCGGCTTCCCGAGCGCCTGCAGTCAACATGCGGCGTCAGGACCAATATAAAAAAACACTAGCAACCCCTAACCCTTACTGTCATTTTACCACTGTGGTTCGGGTTAGATAAGTCTCTACCTCAAGTGGAGATACGGTCAAACTTTTATTTTAGTGACTTGCTTACCTTTTCTCTACTTTGCACTATTGTATTGATATTTCATCATGGGACCTCCTTTGCCAGTACCAAAATATAATAAGTTTTTCCCCTTTTATCTGGCAACAAAACAGGTGTTAGATATTCTTGGTTCTTTTGGCAAAAGTCACGTAGAAGGGAAAAATAACAAAAATATAAAACAATAAAATTCTCACGTTTCGACTGCAACACAAGCAATCATCAGGTGGGGTTTTTGCTGTGTTTTTCACACCTGATGATGATTGCTTGTGTTGCAGTCGAAACGTCGTGAGAATTTTATTGTTTTATACGTTTGTTATTTTGTTGTTTCCCTTCTACGTGACTTTACCGAAAGAACCAAGAATATGAATCCCTGCAGTCACGAAAGCTTTAACTCAAAATTTAGGTGTTAAGATGTTAAAACACCAAACTGAAACCTTTTACAAGAAATCATGTTTTGTTGCCAGATAAAAGGGGAAAACCTATTATCATATTTTGGTACTGGCAAAGTAGGTCCCATGATGTAGTCTCACCCCGAGCTCTCATTACTCTGATAGTGCATTGTCTTTGTGCTGTACGCTTTTTGGCGTCTTCTGGTCTAACACCGTTTGAGACAAGGCTCAAAAGAAAGCTGTCTCTGGTGTGACCAATCAGTTTCAAGGACAATGCATATATTATCAGAGTATGTTTTTTGTTTGCATTCTGACCACAAGCAATGGTTAATGTAGACATGATTCCTTGTAAAAGGTTTCAGTTTGGTGTTTTAACATCTTAACACCTGTTTTGTTGCCAGATAAAAAGAGAAACACCTATTATCACTGTATTTATAGTTTGTTGTAACTTGCTGAACCGCCCCTACTGACCATCTGTGAAAAATATCTTCATAGCCCATCAGATTCCTCCAGGATATATAAAGATTATGATTGTGAGATACAGCAGAAGTTTGATATGATTTGCTTCCATTACATTGGTGAGGCAAGCACACCTCTGGCAACAAGCGTCAGCGAAGCCGAATCACCAACTCGACTGCAGTTCACGCCTGATGAAACGGCTCCCCCTGCTGCCAAGTTAACTACAATTTCACCTCTCATCTTGCATTTACTGCACCCTACCACTCCCCAATACAGTACTCGAGACAAAAACCATGTTCATGGTCAACTTAATACGTGTTACAATGTTTTTGTTTAGACATGTAACAATACGTTAATGCATTGACTGAAATACTCGTGCACTATGAATTGTGCATGTAATCATCAATCGGTTTGAAAGGTTTTGGTTATTTGTTCACATACACGTTGGAGCAACTAGAAAGGCTACATTTACTAAAATGATAAATCAGATTGTTATTTCTCGTTACCAAATGGTTTGTATTGTTTAGTTTTATCTGTTTTGTGCATAGTATTGTTCACATTAGTCTAAATGTAAAAGCATAGTCTTTGCCGATGCTTTGAATAAACCTCTAAATAAATCCAAACACAAATTGATGCATCGATTGTGGGGGTACATAATTATTTCAGTCTACGTGATGCGTCCCCATTTTCTACAGCCATCTGTGCCGTCTCCCTGTGCAAGTTCACGACTCGAAAATATGCCCAGTTCATGTACAGAATGTTGAGCTCCGATAGCATTCATGTGCTATACAAATCCAAACTGTCCCAATGTATTGCATTACGCCGAATTTATTTACATTACTCGCATCCCAATTCGCGAATTTCCATTGCAACTTACATTCCAGTTGGCACTTCTGCTACACATTCTCTTCATTCTGCTCCGAAACCAACACGTGCAAATCTCATTAACGACGACTTGGGACTGGTGTGCCAACAAATGTTGTGCCCCTGGGAACGGGGAGGAGGCTGGAACAGGGAAGGGCTCACCGGCGGCGTGAACGTGAACGGGAACGCCGTTTCCGCGAGCGGGACCTCGATTTTGACCGAGAGCGCTTCTTTTTGTCGTCCTTCTTCTCGGAAGAATCTGAACGAAAAAAAACCCAAGGCCCACTTAAATTACAGTTCCCGAGAACACAGCTGCCATCCAACGTATTCCAGTAACTGGCCAATACATTCCAAGGACAAGCTTACGTATTTCTCATAAAACGTAACTTTTATTCTTTAAGTTCTTCTTTCGCAAAGCTTTGAGCGAGTATGTGGGTACGATCAAGAACAAGCTGCAAGATGTCTAACAGATAACAAATGGTGTCAAGAGGAAAGGGGTGAAAACTCACCTGGGTCGATAGCGGCAGAGATGAGAGACTGTGCTTCACGGACCCTCTTCATGGCCTCCTCGATCTCTTTAGCAGCAGCGTCCACCCCCTTACCCGCCGGTTTTGCGATGGCATTGTTTGGATGGTTCAATCTTGCGACAGAGGTAACAAAATTACCTTGAAAATTAGTGCCCGTTTCAAGACTTAAACAGTCATGCAATTTAAACACTCATGGGAGCACAGCCACTCTAAAGTAATCTTTCATTTTTTGAAAAACAATGCAGCACTTAAGTTACTGTGTTCATATTAGGTTCAGAAGCAATAAAAATAGATTTCCTATACATGCGGTGCACTGTGTGTTAAACTCAACAGATGAACGTACTTGACCTCGCCACCGACTTGCGAAAACAAATTCAGCAACTGTTCAGCAGTGGCAGACTGAAAAACAAGAGGCAAAGGGTCAACCCGTGGCCATTATGGCAAAACAATGCAAATTTCTGACGCAAAAGCAAATCAATCTTGGGTTACTTGAATTATCTATGCTTAAATTAGAATTCAGGACAACTAAACTAAGAAAATAATGGTAAAATCAATCTTACACAAAGCGTTTACAAATAATATTAAAATATAGAAGGTTGTGTATTACATTTAGCTATTCGCAATTGTTAAAATATACTAAATGTAAAAATATCATTTTTAGCATATTTTATTGGATTTCATTTGTTTAAGTTGGTGAGAGCCTCAAGCTGTATACAAGAACCACCGGCAAAGCACATTGATAGAAAAAAGTGCAATGATGTACCATCTCTCAAATACGTGCTGGATGAAAAGACGTGTATTAAAACATGAGATTATGAATATCAGATAGTGTATATACATTTCGATTTAAAGCTTTCGTGACTGCAATGATTCATCTTATTTGGTTCTTTCGGTAAAGTCACGTAGAATGAGAATAAAATAATAAATTGATAAAATAAAATATTATTGTGTTATTTTATTTTATCAATTTATTATTTTATTCTCATTCTACGTGACTTTACCGAAAGAACCAAAAAATAAAATATTATTGTGTTATTTTATTTTATCAATTTATTATTTTATTCTCATTCTACGTGACTTTACCGAAAGAACCAAAGAAGACGTATACACATTCCTAACAAGTTTCCAGACTTCCGCCATCTTTATTCAAATTGTGCACGAGCAGCATGTGACGAAACAGTGTATCCATTTCAAATTCTTTAACGCCACATCACAAGACAGCATGTGGGCAACATCAAATAACCATTTCTATGATCCCTTGTAGGGGCATTACACTTACTTACATGCACTGCAAGGGAGAGGTCTGTCCCAATGGCAAAGTACTTTTTCACTCAGCACCGGAATTGTTTCCAAAAAAGGTGAAAAACCCAACTATCCTTTTGTGGAATGAATAATTGAGCGCCGACACCCGGATTAGATGGAAGCATCCGAGGTGACGACTGTGCTACGGACGCTCCGTGTGCCACCCAATCCCCCTAATCGTTAACAGAGGACCTTCCGATGTTGACCGCGCGCACATGCAGTCAAATCGTACCTGGCCAAGGTGCATGGGCTGCTGCATGCCCTGCAACTTTCCGCCATCCAAGTTTCCGAGAAGCTGTGGCTGTGGGAGGCCGAGCGCGGCCAGTGTGGAGTCCATGCTACCGCCACCGTGCAGCGCGCCCAAAGCCGACAGGGGCACCGCCCCCATCTGTGATGATGCCACACGCACATGTGAAACACTTTAGAATGCATTCACTCAAAGAAGCTCAGTCAGTCTTGAAGGCATTTACACGACTCTTACATGGCACACATGTAAGTCAAATACAAAAAAATAACATTTACAGGCATGTCTCACATTCAACTATTAACCCAGGATAAATTCAGCTTAAGATTCTGAGATTATCCAAACTCAGTTATTTAGTTAGATGCAAGATTGAATGTGGCAAGGTTATGACTTATGTTTATGATTTTTACACCATTGAAAAAGGTATTCTTATTTTTCATGTTTTAGATGTATTCATTTATGTAAAAACGATTAAACAAGACATTACTTTTCAAACTCAAAGTAAACATAACCAAGTTATTAAATGTATAACTATTTAATTCCATTTATTTGCCCCTTTAACTTAAAAACATATCCCTTCTCAGATTCGAATTATTTTGGGACTTTTAGTCAATCCCTGCGTTTTTGAACTGTACGTAAGATCTTAAATTTCGAGTTGCATTTAGCTATCAGTTTTTTTTTTAAAGTTCACATACTACACGTGTCAAACCCGACAATAAAAAAAAAACAATCTATTTACCGAGGCCAGCGGGCTGGGCGTAGGCAGCAGGCCGGCGACAGCACTGGCGGGAGCCAAGAGCGACAGTGCTTTAGCCTCATCTGGTATCTTGCCTGAAAGCAACCGAAAAGAAACAGTCAGACCCCTCCAAACCCACAGACCAGCAGACCTGCCTAGAGAGCGCGTTAACGGCGCTTTGCGCTGGGAATGGACTCGGCAGCATCTACGCAATGCCCTCTCATAGCTTATCTTCCCTCACCGTGGGGGAGGTGGGGGCATTGCATTATTCCAGAGCTGCCAGTGGCAATGTCAAGTACATGTTTCAACGAGAGCCCCGTGTTTACTCGGGTAGCTCTGTGTGCCCCTCCAAAACAGGTTCAAGGCAATGGCTGGGACGGAGGATTATGGGCTGAGGGGGAGGTGGAGAGGAGCTGGGTTTTATGTCAAGAGGTCTCAGACAGACACACCGCTTGACGGCACATGCACATCTTAACTTAAGATTTAAAAACTCCTGTGGTTTCAGGGTTTCAAATAAACGCACAGATATCCAAGAAATGACACCATGTTTTTTTTTTCTCCCGCACATATCAGTTTGAACGTGACTTAGCTATATCACCTGTCCTCGAAACATACTCAAGGCCAAACGATAAGAATCGCTGGGTTTCTCCAGGCACGTTGCTATGAAATTTGCACGCTCAAGCCGCTGGCATCACTATATGGTACAAAAACAATCAAAAAACAGAGAAAACAAAGGGAATTACGGTCCACAGCCCAAACACTGGCAATCTCTGTACAGTGCATTGGCTAATGGAACAGGCAAGTTTCTTGAGTCACACATTTTCTTCTCAATTGTCGATATTCACATTTGCACACGACGGGTCCTCATTGTACTTTCTGGTTGTGATTTAAGCAATAAATGGCTATTTGAGCACCTGATTCGTGAAGTCCAAAATGTGAGAAAATTAAAATTTTCAGTGCTACTCTGCATCACAAAATGACATGCGCACATTGATTTTACATTGTCGTCCACTATATGCCCTTCCGTCGTGTGTTCCCTATAAAAACGATATTGCGTAAGTATGCAAGCACAAAGAGAATAAAATTGTTTGGAGGCCATTCTCAGTCAGTTGGGTAAACTGGCGTGCTGGCCCAGGGATATAACTGTAAAAGACGACAAGACAAAGAAAACAACCATTGAGAGTGAAAACTTCAACATCACTTCCAAGGCTTGCATTCAAAAAACCCAAACATGATTTCAGTGAATTCAAAATAAAAAAAACATCTACCACAACACTTCAACCATTGGCAGCGAATATAACCAAACAGCTGCCGTTATGCACACAACAAAATTCGATTAGCGGCCCTCAGTACAGCAGGAATACTTGACTAAAAAAAACAGAAGACACACGGACACACAGACACTTGACCACATAAGGGGGGAGCAACAAAAGGGCTGGGGTAGAAAAAGGGGTTGCAGAAATGTATATTTGAGTAACGAAAATAAAAAAATAAGAAAACAAACAAGGGCAGACAACAGAAACGCCGCCATTCGCGGCGCAGTCTTGTTTGGCGGACGGTGCAACCGGTGTACCCCCGACTCGCTTAGCGGCGAGGAACAATCTCTACTGGAATTTTTTTGGCTTCTGCCTTGAGGCGCCTCTCTAGTAGGCACAAACAAATCACACAAAGAAAGACACAGAGAAGCACCACATTAATCTTTGGGTAACCCCGCAGACCCCGCCACATGTGTGCACTCGACTTCCGCAGCAGGCTCCACCCTTTTTTCTTGCTCCTACTGGAACGAGGCATCTTCTATCATGCATGGGGGGGAGCTTCTGTCTTCAGCACTTTTTGCCAATATCGCCAACATGGGGGGAAGGGAAGGAGGTTGTCGTCGATCGGGTGACGGACGTCAGAAATTTGCTTAAAAAGAAAGTCTACCTAAAGTCCCCCTCTGATCAAGAACCGGAGTTCTGTTGTCCCCTTCGCGATTGTTTTCAGGCGGCTAACAAACAGCGCCTATTAGATTATGTATTGCTCTTACGACCAAGACACAGCCAGCCGACCCACAGCCCCCTCTTGTGAGACAAGTCAGGGGTTAAGGGGCAGGCAGATGCCTTCTGCAATACAAAATAACAGACAAAGAAAGAAAAACAAACATGACGGGTCCGTTATTGCAGAAATGCTCGGGCGGAACAGTCAAAAACGTCTCTTCAACCGGCTGCCTAAACAAATTGAACACTGCACAATTTTATAGAACTGTGAACATTCACAATTATGCATCTTGCCGTGTTCAACCTTTAACTCACAAACGCTTACGAACTTGCCGATTTTTTTTTTATTACGGATAATAATTTGGCAGCGCTAATGAGCGAGTTGCCACTCTCACTGTGGATTGCAGCCGCATCCCGAGCCCTCTGCCAGATTGTGTTAGTGTTGAGAAGTCACGCAGGCATCGCAGATACATGCTCGCATACGCTAGCATTCCGACAGCAGTGACACAATGGGGGGGAAACGGTGCACCAACCTTCGGCGTACGGCACCACGATGAGAGCCCGGTCGATGAACACTGTGTTGGTCAGGTGCTGCGACACGCCGACGCTGACCGAATCGCTAAACCTCACGAAACACACCCGCGACGTCACCGGCAGAGGGGAGTCACTGCAAAGGGAAAGTCAACGTGTTAGCACGAGGAGAATACGCCCGTCCGCTTGTTTCTTATCGGCAACATTAATGGAGGTTGGCGAGCCAGTTGCACCCGGCTTCAGTGGTGAGCATTGTCAATCCAACCGATGGCCGAAAGCCATCCCAACTCCGCGCCGAGTCGCAGTGATTAACGTACTTGACGATGCTTGTCAGTAGAGGTTAGAGGCAGGCGATGAGCACAATAGCACAGGAACCAGTTACGCGGCACTCCAAGCCGTTTCCCCACTTGTGGACTCCGGTCACCCATCAAACAGTACTATAATGCAGACTCTACAATTGCGTGCGTTCCGACACGACGGGCATTCGAGAGTGGGACGGGTGGATATCTAAAATGCCGCCCGGCGCCATTTGTCCCCCAAACCGGCATGCTCTTCTACTGCGTTAATAGACATACACCCGTGTAATAAGCATGCGACGAGGGCGCACCAAATTCAAACAACACGTACTCTCATACTCATGATTACGCACCGTTTATCGGTAGTGAAAATAAAGTTGCTTTACGTACGCAAATAAACACGCAGCAAAACAAAGAACGGAGTACCAAGGATTCGCGTGAAATCGCACGCCCAGTGTGGTTTAGTGTAAATTGTACAAAGGAAATAACCTACAAATCGCAACGCCGTCAAGTCACCGCCTGCCAACTCGCGCAGGAGATAGTTGGACAGGATTTTGTACTTTTTTGGGCCCAAGTGATGTTTACCAAAAAGTTCAAAAACAGAACAGCAGAGACCTGGTGTGCTCGTCACATTTGTAAGACATCAATGAGTCTAGTTTCGGGCAATTGCACGAATTTAGGGCCAATACCGACAATAAAAGTATATAATAGGCGACGTTTTGGGCAATGCCCCCTTCGTACAATGGAATAACCATTTCCAAAAACGTTGCATATGAGCCATCCTTTGTATTAAGGCAGGGTTAATTAAGGAATTTGTTGTGCTTGAAACAACAATGCCAATGCAGTCCCTTCATAATACAGTATACAACATAATACATGACCTCATACGGCAGGAGATTGAGAAAATGACTCCTACATAGCGACCTAAGTTTTACAAGCTTAAGCAGTGCTACATGTTTGCAGATAAATACCTGACGTGGCACGTCTACATTCCTATGGCGAGGGACGATGTATGAAATATATTCTCGATCATTGCCCGAAACGTCGCCTCGTCTTCAAGGCAGTGTTGATGAATATGTTGAGCATCCATATATATAAACTACGAGTTAATTCCCGTTAAATAGGGGGTTTAAGCACATATCCAAGTGCGCTAATACAATACACTCTGTAATGTATAGGTAAAAACATGTCCAGTTCTCAATTCATTTGCGCTGTTTACGGTGGCGCATTAGTACGCCTGGGAGCTAAGCAGCATGAGATATGGTCAAATAATCCTTATTGGGGAAGCCTTCATGCAACAATGGATTAACAAAGAGATAACTATTGACAATAAACCGCACAAGGCCACTCAATTGGTGAGCGCTCTTAACGTAACAATGCAACTAATTCGTAAACTCAGTTGACGAGCGCGTAATGACTGCGCGTATAAGCGAGCGAATGAGTCAACGAGTAAAATGAAACGGGACTCGTTCGCGAGTACTGTGTGGAACGAATCACCCACACACATCGCTTACCCGGAAGGAAATGCGCCAATAAACTAGTCAGTTACGAGTTACTTGAAAGATTCACTTGAGTCGCGAGTTACCGATTGAAACCTAGCGGTATTACCGACTGAAAGATTAACGTAACGAGTGAATGAGTCGGTGAATGAATGAGAGCGGGAGCCACGTGCCCCCCCACCCCCAGCTCATTCCTTCCCGCGGAGAAGATGGCGGCCGGTCGCCGCCGTTCTTCGTCGTTAACCACGAAACCGCCTCGACTCAGCCGCACGACAACGCGGGAGACGCGCCGCGCATGGGCGCCAACTTACTCGTGTGGGAAGACGCGAATGTCTTCGATTTTGCCCAGGAATCCGAACAGAGTCTTCATCTGCTCCGTGGTGGCCGCGGGGGCCACGTTGGTCACCTGAATCACGTCCGTCATGGTGCAAACCTCCCCCGCGACAGCGCCCCCACCACCACCGCCGCCGCCAACACCACCTCCTGTCGTCTCGAGAAAAGAAATGAGCGCTGGGAAATAAAGGCGGTTAATAAACTCGCCGGCTCATTAAAGGGATGGATGGAACGTAAAGGAATAAATCGGTGAGAAAGTGAAATTAAAAGGGGAGGTCGAGGCGTGCGCAGCCACCAGCGCGCGGCATCGCCACAAAATGGCGGCAGCAAAGCGGGGGGCCTTCCTCCCAGAGTTCATTGCGCGCAGTCCAGCCTCTTGTAGATTTCATACACTGTATAAGCATGGGTGGTGGGCTCCGGTATGTATTACATACAACATATAAGTATGTGGACCATGTGTTCTATTACATACACCGCATAAGCATAGTGGTGGACCCGGGATATATAACATACATCACATAAGTATATGGACCATGGGTTGAATTACATACATCATACAAGCATAGTGATGACCTAGGATATATTACATACATAGCATAAGCATGTGGACCCTGTATTGCATTACACACATCACATAAGCATGGTGGTGGACACGAATATATAATACACATCACATAAGCATGCGGACCATGTGTTGCATTACATACACCGCATAAGCATGGCGGTGGACACTGAGTTGTATTACATACACCGCATAAGCGTGGTGGTGGACCCGGGATGTATTACATACAGCACATAAGCATGGTGACCCTGGGATGGATTGCATCCTCTTCTACAGGATATATAGTTGCCCACATTGTTTGGCGATGCTTCGTCGGTTGCGGTGCACACGTACAAATAACGAAAATAAAAGAGAAAGTATATAATAGGCGACGTTTTTGGGCAATGGCCCTTACGGGCAAAATGAAGATCCATTGCCACAAAACGTAGCCTACGATATTACGCTAGAACACTCTTCTTAATGTGTTCGAGTTTTTAACGACAATATTCGCCAATTCCTTTACCTTTAAGGTATCAAACCCCTCCCCCCACCACCTCATCCCAAAACCAGGTTATTGAAGCCACAATACAGAGCTTCACCTGCACATTCGTGTAATTCAATGCGGTGTTAGTAAGGCGTTTGTTGTCAAGTTAGTCGTGGAACGGTGGTGCAGCGGTTAGCGCGCTACGAACCTGGCGGGCACGGGTTCGATTCCCGCTCACGGCCACCAACACCGGTGTGACGATTATCTTGAACCGGTTCTGGGCCTCCACCTAGATCGACTCGGCCTCAAATGAGTACCTGGTGCGGTGTGTAAACCATCGCCACTGGGGGAGACAAAGGCGGCCGGGCGTGGTTGCTGGCCACCCACCCCCTCGTGTGCCGTGCCGGCCTTCACAGGTGCTCGCTAACTCACAGCACTTGCCCCTACAGCCTGTTACAGGATACACGGGGGACGTTTGTCTTCGTCGTCTCAACGTGGTTTTTATTATCCCTGATCTCCGTTTTCAAAGCTTTGCCCAGCACTGGGCTTACGGTAAACCACTCAGGGGTGGGGAAACGCTAACAATGGTGATTATTATTTTTAAGAGCAATTATTCTCAAGGTTACAGATATGTCAAGTGTCACCGGGGGTCGTGGTTTTTTATATATAGTGGAAAGGTGATTAAAGTAAGGACGTTCCAACTTGTGTTTTTTTTGTTGACAATGTTTCGGAAGAAAATGTGACGTGAAGCATCGATGGAACACAAATATAATCATAAAGCGTGGATAGGGAAAAGACGTAGCTGTTAATCTATAGGCTAAAGGGCCGTCCATAAATGACGTCACGCGATTTTGGAGGATTTTTGAGCCCCCCCCTTTCGTCACACGACGTCACAAAAAGTAAGCCCCCCCCCCTCAAATATGACGTCATAAAGCTCTGCGCCCCCGCAAAAAAATAAAACATGCTTCAAATCGCTTTAAACTATTGTCATTGTATTTAATGTGGCGCTGCACTCTGATGTTGTAGGAGAAAACATTTATTAAAAAGTATATTTAATTAAGTAGAACATGTCTATATTTATTTAAAGTTGCGCATTTTGATGTGACGTCACATTTCTCACCCCCCCCCGGGTCACACATCGTCACGAATGTCTGACCCCCCTCCTAGGTGCGTGACGTCATTTGTAGACGGCCCCTAAGCTTTTGGTGGATACCAGGTACTACTTATAGCAGCATCACCAAATAATGTATTTAGTCGAAACTATAGTGCAATTAAGCTGCAAAAATCATCCCCGGTCCACCCAGCAGTATGAATGGGTGCAACCGACATCGAATGACCTTACAATAACATACACATTCTTAGTTCTTTCGGTAAAGTCACGTAGAAGGGAAACAATAAAATAATAAACATATAAAACAATACAATTCTCACGACGTTTCGACTGCAACACAAGCAATCAGCATCAGGTGTGAAAACCGCAGCAAAATTTGTTTTTCTTGAAAACAAAAACAGATTTAAAACTAATCAGATTCATCTTCTTGGTTCTTTCGGTAAAGTCACGTAGAATGGAAGTAAAATAATAAAAATAAAACATAATAAAGAACCAAAAAGATGAATCCCTGCAGTCACGAAAGCTTTAAATCGAAATCTAATCGGATTCCTCCAGTATAAACACATTCCTGCGAAGGGAGCTGGTATGAACGTTGGGTTGCTCGGTCAATGGCCAGGGTCACACGGCGGCACCACGTGGTGTACTCCGCAAATATGCCCGACTGTGAGGGCGGGCACAAGCCGGCGTGAGTAGGTTAAACTTTGAGTTTTATAAGGGCACCACGGGGTGACCAGCCCCTCCCCAATCAGCCACACCCCTCCCACCCAGCCCCACCCTCCCCACCCAGCCCTACCCCTCCCACCCCCCACCCAGCCCCTCCCCACAGTCCCCACCCTCCCCTCCCCATCCAGCCCCTCCCCACCCTCCCCACCCAGCCCCTCCCCACCCAGCCCTACCCCTCCCACCCAGCCCCTCCCCACCCTCCCATCCCCACCATCCCCTCCCCACCCAGCCCCTTTTCTCCCCACCCTCCCCTCCCACCCAGCCCCCCACCCAGCCCCTCCCCTCTTCACCCAGCCCCACCCCTCCCATTTTTGGATGCAGGACGGACGGACACAATAGTTCATAGTTCATTTATTTGGTATAGCCCTGTGAGCCTTTCGACTCTTGAATCGGGTGCAACCACAACAAACAAAAAGGACAAAAACACGAACAAGAAAAACATCTTAAAGTGACTATGTGACTGTGCAAACAGAAAATCCAGGAAAAAAACATCAAAATATTCCTGAAATAGCACCGTACACCAACGCTGTGTGCAAAAATCCCAGTGGGATGCAAGTCAAACAACAACAAAAACAACAACCACAAGGCAACTAAGATTAAGGCCATCAGTCTAACTCCGTACTACAACAAAACAAACATGTCCAAACCAAAAAAACGTTTTCGAAATCACAATAATCCCTAAGTGGGCTGGTGGTGTAACCAGGAGGTTCCTACCAGTAATATTCAGATTAATTAAAACTCCCCTTATGTTCCACGTTTCCATCTCTCAGTACAGATTCTCACACAGTGTTACCGGGCACGTTTGGCTTGCGTACGGTGCGAAAAAAAACATTCAACGCACGTGTCTGCCTGATAATGCTACTTGTAATTACTGGCGAAACGTCGAACTCAGAGTGTAAATGTTGCGCATTTGGCTCTCCAACACACCTGTGTTGCTGTGCTGGTAACGAATTGGCCACGTTCTGTTTACGTGACAAAACTTACTAATTGTGTCGGGTTTAACAACACATTTATATTTACGCGATACCCACCCCACCCACCACCACCCTACCTCACCCCACCTCTGTCATGTACCAATTACAATTGTTACCAATCTGTAACACCACCCCGAGGGTGGTGACTCTCACTTCGCCCTCCTCCTCCTCCTGCTGCTACCATCACCGGCGACATAAACACCACCACCGCCACCTCCTCCTCCTCATTCACCCCGAGGCACTCGTCTCCGCCACCTCGTCTCACGCCGCCCGCCAGCAGCAGCAGCGATGTCCCGAGCTCGTCGAGGCCCCCCCGACGAGGCCACCGTGCCCCAGGGCCTCCTCAGGGCGGCGAGGACGAGCGGGCAGCTCAACCTGGCGGGCCGCGGGCTCGGCGAAGGTGAGCGAACGGGCGGCGACCGGACGGGGCCAGCGTGCGGCCCGGGCCGGCTTGGGTCGCTAGGCAAGCGGCGTGGTCGGCAGGCTCCCGTGAAGTGCGTGACAAGGCCTCGGCATGTTATGTCACGTTTATACATCGTACTTTAGACGTTGAGATTCCTGTGATGCATTAATAGTCGTTTATCGACGTATGCAGTGACGGTATGTGCTTTATGTAACGGCTGTGATTTATATTTTTTTTGTGGGGGTTTTGTAATTATGTGTCGAAGTTTGTTACGGTCATTGCGGTCCGTTATTTAAGCATTAATCATCGTGTGCAGTACGAACATCCTTTCTTATGACCTGTAATGCATCTGCGAATACATTAATGCGGTCGAGAGAGATTAACCACTTTTTATAATCGAAGATTTGGTTTGGTAATTATTGCAAAACGCAGTGTTCTTGCAGTTCATAATGCAGTGCAGGGATGTATAGGAATTTGCGGATGATGTAACTGATTAAATATTAAGCAACACTAACGATGGATATTTTACAGATTGTGTGACCAACATACAAACACAAATGCGGCCATAATTTGACTTTTTTTTACATTTTCCTTCAAAAATATGGTTTCAAAAATTTCGAAAGTCGAACTTCTTTCGCACCGTACGTAGCCAACCGTGGTAATCGGAGATGCGGGGGAAGGACAACAAACAGAACACAAAAAGTGATTCTAAAGAAGTTAGTTTGTCTATCAAGGTGGTTTAAAAGTGCACAGCTCCCAATGGCTTCCTAATGTCAGCAAGAAAGAGCGTTAAATTTCGATTTAAAGCTTTCGTGACTGCAAGGATTCACCTTCTTTGGTTCTTTCGGTAAAGTCACCAAGTAGAATGAGAATAAAATAATAAAATAACACAATAACATTATCACGACGTTTCGGCCGCTTGCGTTGTGGCCCGAAACGTCGTGATAATTTTATTGTGTTATTTTATTATTTTATTCTCATTCTACGTGGTGACTTTACCGAAAGAACCAAAGATGAAGAAGAGCGTTCCAGACGGCTGCAGAAGCGCATCATCTGAACGCGCGCGCTGTAGTTGTGACCGTCTTAACGATGGATATGGATAATAAGCACAGACACACTGCTCCCTGCTTGTGTTTGGGATTAAGCCACATGGTAATTTTGTGCCGCGATTCTTAGCAGAGAAAATTTGTTCAAAAGCTGAAAAGCGCACGGAGAGACGTGGAGAGAGAGAGATGCTCAGATGCCTGCTTTTAATTACACCGGGGCGACAGGGAAGTGGAAGGAATACGTGAATCAGGGGGGAGTAAACCAAAAACCTGACACATCATTGACAATTACAAATAAAATTGGCTTGGGCAGAACACTACGCTAGGCCAATGGACGAGACCGGTGATGGAATTTCAGCCAGCCAAAAGTGGGAACTCGTCCTTAGAGGAATGACGACCACCGTGGAGACGAATCGATGGATTCGGGTGCAGGAGTTCAGATGGGCGACGGCAGCACTGGACCGTGTCGGGAGAGCACTGGATTGACAAAGGACGATAAATGTTATAGTACAGATTTGTATTTTTAATATCTCGTCTCTCAACATCCAATATGTACACACAGTACTTGTTCATACATTTTAATTCATATGCGATCCATGAATTTTGTATAGTATGTAGAAACGAATTAATTACAGTATACACTGCTCATCTTTCCTACATTTACATAAGCTTACCTTGACCCTAGTTAAAGAATATTGATTTTGCCACCGCTACCCATTGTGCCCATGTCCCCATGC